TGGCGGCGGCGGTGCAGGACGGCCGGCCGGCGGATGGGCGGAGTGGGCGTCGAGTTGGCCGGCTAGAACCCTATGAATGATTCGGGGATTTTGTTGCATGGGTCCACATGTCAGCTTCGGACCCACGTCCACGTGGTCCCACATGTAAGCTCCGGACCCACAACCACTAACGCCGGCAGATGGAATGGACTAAAATCTGGCCGTTTGGCCTCACCATAGTAGCTGTGACTAGGGGCAAAACTGAGCACGATTCGCATTTGAGGACAAAACTGAGCACATGGACACCACTGAGGGCAAAAGGATAATTAACCCTAAGCAAGATGGCATGATGTAGAGGGATAGATCCAATCAATATGAACAAACCCCATATTTTTATCCTTAATGGCAACAATACAAATACGTGTCATGTCCCTTTCTGTCACTGGGATTGAGCACGGTGGGACTGAACCCATTACAAAGCACCTCTCCCATTGCAAGAAAAATCAATCTAGTTGGCCAAACCAAATCAATAGATTGGAGAGAAATACAAAGCTATATAACTCATGCATAAAAGAGTTAAGATAAGACTCAAATAATATTCATATATAATCTGATCATAAACCCACAATTCATTGGATCTCAACAGAGACACTGCAAAAGAAGATTACATCAAATAGATCTCCAAGATCATCGAGGAGAACATTGTATTGAAAATCAAAGAGATAGAAGAAGCCATATAGATACTAGTTGTGGACCCATAGGTCTGTGGTAAACTACTCACACATCATCAGAAGGGCGGCAAGGTTGATATAGAAGCCCTCCGTGATCGAATCCCCTCGAGCAGAGTACCGAAAAAAGGTCCCCAGATGGGATCTCACGAAGACAGAAACTTGCGGTGGCAGAAAAGTATTTTTGGTGTGCCCACTAGTCTTGAGGAAATATTTGGGAATTTATAGACAAAAAATTAGGGTTAGGAGAGCCATGGGGGGTCCATAAGCTTGGGGGCGCCCCCTGGGGCACGCCCCCTGAGCATGTCACCACCTCATGGCCTCCTCCCGAAGCTTTCAGGGTGTCTTGTGGTCCAAGAAAAATCATCAAAAAGTTTCGTTCCATTTGGACTCCGTTGGGTATTGATTTTCTGTAAAGAGAAAAAAACAAGGGAAAAACAGCAACTGGCATTGGGCACTGGGTTAATAGGTTAGTCCCAGAAAATGATATAAAATAGCATAATAATGCATATAAAACATCTAAGATTGATAATATAATAGCATGGAACAATCAAAAATTATAGATACGTTGGAGATGTATCAATCATCAACACAATCTCACAAATATATCCAGATAAGAATTAGTCACAGCCACATTTCACCAATCCGTTACTCCTCCCACGCCCAGGGAAATTGCTCACATATTAGAGATAAATAATAACCAAATACAAAGATCGAATGAAAGTTAATCATCTTTAGCACAATGAGATGAATGATTAACCAGATTGTGATATTTTAATTAAAGTATGAATATAATTTACAAACCCTAGCCTTACAAGCTGGAATCTCTCTAACGGCAATTTTGTCAATGGTGGAAAGGATCATGTGGCAGAGGAACCTAGAATGGATCTAGGTGAAGCAATTCTCCTCTCGGTCTCTCTTTCTCTGCTCTGGCCTCTGGTTCTACCTCCTCCATCTCTTTCTTGTGTGTCGCCCAGTCCAGAAAATTGTTTGTGTAGATGAGAGGAAGGCATGACTATGAGCGCTCCTCTGCATGTATCAAATCACATGGTACAGTCGACGATAAGCCCGCTGAGGCTATTAGATAGCGCTCTCATCACCGCGCCATGGCCGGTATGGCCATCCCTTCCATGGGCGTTCGGGTCATCCCTCTCGTGATCTCTGTCTAGCTTACCAGCTTACGTCTTGTCTATTTGGCTATTGGGTGGTACCTTTATATAATAGGATCGAGTTACACATGTCTGACTCAAACACCTATATAACCCTCCGCTAATTACAAGTCTAAGTGTAGTATAACTCATACACATAATATTGGACACATATTTTAACACCTACCATGGCAAATATGACCTCACGACATGGAAGCTCCCATGTGCGAATGTCTGTGTACCTTGGGCTTGAATCGTTATTCATGAGCTTAGCTGCTACTCTCTTGACATCACATGGCTCCACCTCCAACTGTAGTTCCTTCTTTTCTTCATGATAGTCAAAGCTCCCATGAAAATTAAGTTCTTTTGCATTCTTGTCTTCTATTCCCAATCTCCTAGAGTATATATCCAATGCCATCGCTCATTGACCATAAAGTCACCATGTCTGACAACATCGATATATCGTCACCCTGGTAGCTTCTTTACTAATCTGTGTGAGAGTAAAATACTCGCATACTGGATTCACATATAAGAAATTTTTAGCTCACCATCATTTCTATTGTTAACCGCATACATGGACTTGAAGGAATTTTTTGTTACCTTTACTCATCTCGAGTCAAATTCATGGTTGTCTCATCCCTTTTTCTGGATAGTCTTTTACATGCCTCATAGCTCTAGCACTCGTCTCATTCTACATTTGTCATCCACATTTTGCCATGTGCACCGAACGCCACCGAATATATGACCATGTGCTCTCCTAGGTTTTGACATTTTTTAAACTTCCCATCAGTTTCGCAGATTCTTTATGGTCAACTCTAGTCCACCTTCAAATGTGCCCACCTGGATAGACATAATCACGAAATTGACATTGTAACTCGCCAACATGGCTTGAGCACCATCTCCACACTATGTCTGACCACCAGTGTCCTCGTCTGTCGTCATGTCTCGTGCTTACCGCACGTATCGCCGTTATTACTGTCCAGGCTCCGCTGTCCCGGTCGAGTATCTTGGGTCACGAACCCAAATCACCTCAACCCCCACTTAATAGAACCATCGGTTCATCATCAAGAGATGTCGAGTTTTACGTATCCATCGAACCACTTGTCCATAGCCCGAACAACATGCCCGTTGCTTTTCCCACTCAAATAGGCTTTGACTCTCCGACGTCTTACACCGCAGACTCTCCACCAGAATCAAGTGAAGTCTTCCATCAGACTCGCAGCTACAACTTCAACATGTATCCATGGTAGATGATCAGTACACCCTCACGCCCGTTGACTTCAAGCTCCCATGTGTACACCACCTTGAGTCAACCCAGCTCCATCGCCATGATGAAGCTCACAAACCCTCGGACCATCGCTGCATGTTGCCATGCCTGGAAGTCGGTCACCATCAGCATCACGCTCCTATGTCATCATCGTTGAAATCATCATCATCTTCTATTCCACCTGACATCCTTGTCGATCCGCCAAACTTTCTAGGCCACTCGGCTTATATGTCTGACCCCGGTCGAACTTTTCCAATCGCAACCAAGCTCCACCTTGCATCGTGTTAGCCGAACACTCAATTGGCTCGCCTGAAGCGCCAAGGAGGAGCTCTCAACGAGGATGTTGAGGTTAGGCGGTTGGAAAATGAGGCCATCGGGCAATACCGAGCCCTTGAACAGGGCAACAAGGACATGGACGGCTGCGGTCGTTGGAGTACAAGCAATGACGGTTGACGTTGGAGACACACAAATCTATACCTAATAATAAAGGGGTTGTTGCTTCTTGTGATATATCAAGCAAATTGCCCCCAAAGTTGCAAAATATTACCCACCAATGTCACTTATAAATGATAAAAAAATGTTTCACATCGGGGAATCCCCTGCGTGGGCCGGCTCATGTAGAAGGGACCTCCTATACTGCGCCCTATGTGCGGGGAGAAGACGTGCGCTCCCCTTTGGGTCGGCCCATGTCCGGGCGGCCAGCTTTTATTTTTATTATTTCTTTCGGTTTTGTTTTTTCACTTTAAATAATTTGGGACTTCAAAAATGTTCCGAAAATTCAAAAAATGAGAATTTTGAAATAGAATGTATACTAAATCATAAAATATTTGTGGATTCAAAAAATGTTTGCATTTTTATAAAACATGTTTGCTTATTCAAAAAAAAAACTCTTAATATTGAAAACAAATGTTTAGAAAACCAAAAAATGTTCATGATTTTTTTAAAAAGTTCATGTATTAAGAAATGTTAATGAAATTGAACAAATTTTTGCCAATTCAAAAAAGTCCATGAATGGAAAAATATCCTAAAAATTCAAAAATTGTTCGTGACTTACAAAATAGTTTATTCATTCATAAAATATTCGCTGATTTAAAAAATGATCATGCATTTCAAAAAATGTTTGTAAAATCAATAAAATTTTATGAATTTGAAAAATTGTTCCGCCAATTTCCAAAACAATGTTCACGGATTCAAGGAAGTTGTTAAAAAATGTTCACAATTTAAAAAGATGTTGGCAAATAGTATAAATGTTCTTAATTCTAGAAAATGTTCGAAAATTTGTAGAAGTGTTCATGACTTTGAAAAATGTTCATGAGTTTAAAAAAAATATTCATGATTTCACGAAATTAAGGGTGGTAGTGTATCTCGGTGATGCAGCAAAATATGATCATGGCCATTGGAGGTTATGATTTTTTTTTCCAGCTGCAACACACAGGCCCTTTTGCTAGTAAGTTTCAAATAAACAAAATTATGAGCTTGGCATTCAGTCTAAATGTGATCCAGAACAATGTTAATAATAGTTGCAGTCAAATCTAAGTCCCATTTCCTGTTCCAGGTGACTTTAGATCATGAATAGAACAGTTCAACACTAGTCATCTAAAATGTTTCTACTGATTTTATACATGTTCATTGTCTCCAATCCCAATACAATCACAGTTCAACAAATATTGGACAAGATACAAAAGAAATGCTAACTGCTGATCCCACAATGATAGACAAAAATAAACAAAAAAGAGGCATATCCGACGACATGCACGTGTTGCCGGTAAGACAGTAGAACTTCTCAAGAATACAGAAAGTCGGATTCAAAATTTTCCCGGCAGTACGTGCTTTTTCCAGGTCGCAAGTTGTATTTCGTGGTGATTATGAGCCCATGTATCATAAATTGATGTCTAGTCGGCTTGTCCTACTACTGTTTTTGTCAGGAATTGCCGATGACGAGAATCTGTGGTATCTGTAGTTCTCCGCGGAAGAGGACATTGGCTGCTGCGGAGAGGGAGTGAGTGGTAGAGTTACATTCTGCTGTGCAGATAGTGGGGCGACACCGTTGCATTTGTACCTCTGCCCGCCATAGCTGCAACAAGGAGGGAAATAAAATGTGTCTACAAGATGGCCTGACCAATAGCCAGTCAAATGCATTTCAGATGGACAAGTACAAAGATAATATCAATTCACCGAGTGCACTAGCCTGCTCTTAGTAACACATAAAAAAGTAAGACAAAGAGCTCACCTTTTCCTTTTGAACAACTCCTCGTCATTCGTGGTTTCTACAGGAAGAATGGTATCCCCTCTGGGAGTGAGAGACCATGGGCTAGGGGCAGGAAGTTCATTCGAGAAATACCTCCTCCTTATCAACTGAAAGATAAATCTCAACAACATTAGTAAATAATCTTATGTACCAAGAATTCTTATCTGCTACTCAAATCGAAAATTATTCTGTTACACAAAGCCACGAACCATGCGGAAGAACTTAACCACAGCTTCTTTATCATATCTTGCCTCTTTTGCAGCCTGCATCCAAAGGTCAACATATCATTTGCTAAGGCACTAACAACGTCAACCCCAACCAGTACATAAATAATGAGAGCAGAGCAGAACATTTTAATTCAGAGTCATACTGCTAAAGTCCACCACATTACAGTAAAGTCCTTTTATCATGGAAACGTGAAGACATCACATGAAAGATGTGAATAAGAGCACATTAGAATTACCGTGAGCAGACCAGAATTGCCAGGGAAGCTATCCACAAGTGGAAGTTCTTCACTCGATGGAAGTAGGCCTTGCTTGTCAACCCATTGACGAGCAACATCAATAAGATTTCCACTGCTAACTCTTCTACCATCTCTTGGAGCAATGTCTACTTTGTTAGCAATCACTAGGTAAGGAACTGGAAGACCTCCTGGACCACCAGACCCAAGAGGAGCTGAAAAGGTCCCAGACTCAGCAACCTCAACTGCCCACTTGCTCAAATTTGTCTTTGTCTTCCTCTGAGATAGGTCATAAACAAATATGACACCTGATGAATAATTATGGAGAAGTGAATACAGGATCTGTATTATCTGGTGTACTTGCACGGATTTGTAATACCTAGTTGCTATGGAAAACTTGAAACGCATATCTGAAATCACTCGGGCACAATAGAAAGAATGCATTGATTCTATCAAATTGAGAATCAGGAAAAGTCATACTAAAAGAAGTTGATATCTACACTTTGTGGTGATAAGATAGTTAAATAGGAACACCAGAGAATCAATTACTGAAGTCGCAGAATCTCAGAAAGCTCAGCAGTTGTGAGTTAAACAGCTAGTAGCAAATATGCAAATTTGTCACTGTATTTTATATGAGAAAATTTGTTGTTAATACTGGTTGAGAAGCAAATAATATTAGAAATGTATATTATGCCATATAAGATGACTGAACCAGATTAGTAGGGAAGCAAAGGCCAGAATATTAGATTGGTATAAAGAGAATTGTGTACCATTAATTTGTGAATAAAAAAGTGAACGGCAATCTCTGTAGCGATCATGCCCTGAAACATCCCAAAGCTCGACAAAGAAGTTCCTTTCAGCATCACCGACGATGCTATTAGATGAACTCCCTGGGCTTCCGTAAGTAATATGCTGAAACGATTGAGTAAACAATTCTATCAGAATATACTGCTGAAATGACGGAGTGAGCACACTGCATTACATACTTTTACATCAACTGTACATCCAATTGTTTGGGTCGGTCGAGCAACCGCAGAACCTTGAAGAATGAGACGTGCCAATGAAGATTTCCCCACACCTGGAAAAAGAAAAGGAAAATTCATCATGTCCATTAAAACTAAACAGTAACAAGTTAAACTTCTACAAACAGTACTTGAGCATCTCTACAAGTTGATCACAATGGTATGCGTTAAGGAGTATTAGTATTGATCTAGGTTTCTGTATGTAGTCATATTGGTCTAGATTTCCTTCCTTGTACCCCAAGTCTCCTGTACCATATATTCTCCCCATGGGCTATGGTAATACAATCAAGTTGCTCCTCTAGCATGGTATCAAGAGCCAAGGTTTAGAGTTTTCTCCCGACACCGCGACTCGTCCTCCTCTCTCTATCGGTTTCTTCAGATCGGTCTTGGACGATCAATATATTTTCGGTCTCATTTTGATTAATTTTCCTCTGGATCGATCTCATCCTCCAACAGTCAGCAATGCCCTGGCCAGATCAGGCCACTGCTGGGCTGCCTCCTCTGCCTAGACAGGAGCTCCCCCTCCAATATCGAATCGAATCCAGCCTCTCACGACCGTCCGTCTGCTTCCCTGGCTGCTGGATCGGCCCCATCGCCATGTGCATGTCACCTTGTGTAAACGCCCGACCGGACGCATCCGGCCCCCATCGAAGCCCATCCGCCTGCTGCTCCAGCTGGATTGGGCCGCCGAATCGTAAAGATCCAACACCTCGTCCACGCGTGTCTGTTCTCCATCGACCACCGTGTCAACTATTCAGACTACGGTATCATATATTCAGACTGGGGTGCCGATTATTCAATTACCGCTTCTCTAGATCTAACGGTCATCATCTCTCCGCGATCTACGTTCGTTCGATGGTCTGGATTGGTTCTTACCGTTGTACCAGTGTAGTGCCGTGGCATCTTAAGAGTCCAGTTGTCTCCTAAGCTTAATCAGAAGTATCCATGGTGTGTATGTGTCCTACTAGAAGAGTCTGTTTGTGGGTAGAGTCCAGTTGTCTCTTAGATGGACCCAACTTAGTCGAGTATCCAGCGTGTGTGGAATTACTGTTTAGAGAACAGTAACATATCTAAAGGGTTTATATAAGGATGTATCGCCCTGTAAGGAGGGCAAGCGGTTTGGCGCTAGCTCCCGACTTCTGGCCCGAGCACTTGCGTGTCTCGGCGGCCGAGAATGCTGCCCTCACGGCCCCGTTCTATGAGGCAGAGGTCTAGGAGGCCATCAAAGGCATGAACCCTACATCCACCCCCGGCCCCGATAGCCTTCCGGTGAAACTTTTCCAGACCTTCTGGAATGTCATCAAACCGGATGTGATGGCCCTCTTTGAGTGCCAACCACGACAGCAACTGCCAACCTGGTGCCAACCACGACATCCACACCCTCAATTCTAACACAACAGCAACTGCCCTGGTCCCAAGAATCATCTCAGAGGACACCGGGCCTGCAGACGATCCCTCCCAACACACAGACAGGATTTTGGTTTCCTCAATCAGTGCCATCCAGGCCCTCATATTTGCTGTTCTGCAGGGTCCACAAAATTGCAGATACCACGGGTGTGCATCGATACCACAAACTGGAATTTCGCACATTCAATGGCAACGATGACCAGATGGTCTGGTTGAATCGGTGTGAACAATTGATTTCCATGGGCAGAATATTGCTATAACACTAGCTTCCAGCGTTCTATCAAAACCAGCCCTTTTCATGTGGTTTATGGCAGGACGCCTCTATCGTTGGTGTCATATGAGCCTGGCTCAGCATGTGTGGAGGCGGTTGAGCGCTCCCACGTTGAGCGGGATGAGTTCCTAAAGGAAATTCGTGACAGGCTTCTCCAAGCTATAAAGGAACATGACACTTAGCACCGTGGCCTTGAATTTGCAGTAGGAGACTGGGTTTGGCTCAGACTGCACAACCGCCAGGCAGCATCACTAGCGGTCAAAGCACATGCTAAGTTAGCACCAAAATATTGTGGGCTTTATCAAGTCTTGGAGAGGATTGGTGCAGTAGCTTATCGACTACGTCTACCTACTGGTGCACGTATCCATGCATGCTGCACTGTTGAAGAAATTTCATGGAGATCCACCCGCATCTGACCCAAACCTTCCATTGATCGAACATTGGTGTGTCATTCCAGTACCAGCAAAGGTGGAGCAAGCACGCCGACGCCAAGACAAGTGTGAAGTTCTAGTGCAATGGCATGGTTTGCCAACAACAGAGAGCACCTGGGAGCCGCTGGGTAAGTTCAAGGAACTCTATCAGGATTTAACTTCATGAACAGCTACTGGAGGCGTGCTTATAAAAGAAAGAACATGGGACCAGCTAACATGCAGGAATAGTCAGCTCTATCCAATATGCAGCTTGAGGAAAAGCTGCTTCCAAGAGAAGGGGGGTAATGTTGTGGCATTTTAAGAGTCCAATTGTCTCCTAAGCTTAGTCTAGAAGTACCAGGGTGTGTATGAATCCTAGTAGAAAAGTTTGTTTGTGGGTAGAGTCCAGTTGTCTCTTAGCTGGACCCAGCTTAGTCCTTTTTCTTTTGCAGGTATCCCCATTCTGAGTCTGTCCCAAACAACTACGCCGTCCTTCTCCCATTCTCTTCATACAGAGTTGAAAATTACCTGGTGCCCGAGTCTTTGTAGAGCGGGAGCAGGTCCGTTGTAGGCATGAGGGAACGCGGAGCTGGGTAGGACCGGGTAGACGACTTGGATGGGCCAGGTGCCATGGAGTACCTGATGGGCACTTGGCCTCCAAGGTGTACGATGTGGCCATCGAGACCCGCTGGAGTGCACCCACAAGCTCTCCGAGCGCCTGGAGGTCAACCTCCATATCAAGCATGAGGACCTGGTAATTAATCACCAACCTCGCAGCATCCCTTTCTGAAGATGTAGCTTCATGCTTCCGTTCACTGACGCTTCAAGAAATTTTTAAATTTCCAATTGCTTTCTCTAATAAAACTTCCACAAGGGTGGGCTTTGAGGAGGTTTACCTTGATTATGATGTTTAGATTGCTCACTCGCCCTGGTGTTTGCATGTTCTTGTCGTACTATCCCGATGATAGTCCAGGGTAGCCACGGATAAATACTCAGAAACCCTGAAAACGTATATCCTGTAACACTAGCTATTTCTAGCTACAATACTACAAAAAAGTAGATGGTGCCATGATTCAATTTCAAAACGGTGCACACATTCAGGGTTTTCTTCATTCCTTTTTCAAAATTTGTCCCTTGATTCCAAGCGTGGAGGGGTGGCATCCGTGAGCATGTCGCCGTGTGGGGAGGCAGCCACGCTGCGGCCACTCACCTCAGATACTCCCTCCTGCAGTGGGGAATGGTGTCGTTGACGCGGAGGACTCCATGTCAGGTGCTTCGGCAAGGACGGTCAACAGAATACGGAAACATGCCAATGAGGAGGCGTGGAGGACGGCGCCCACGACTACATCACCAATAGACTCGGAGGAGGGTGTCTCATCCAGTGGAAAAGCACGCTAGAAGCCATCAAGGAAGACCGTCGAACAATCCCTAACCCTCCATCGAGCCACCGCCACAGCGACGAGACCAACGCCAGTAAGTCGCCGCCACCACTGAGTTGTACAAGGTGCGCCCTGGTGTTTCCCAGAATCTTCCCTGCCTCCTGAAGAAGCCTCATGGCATTCCGGCGGCGGTTTTTGGCCAAGTGAAAGGGCATCCGCCCCTAATGAGGGTTTTGGTGTTAATGGCAATAGAGATTAGATGACTAACTATGTTCCGCACATGTGTCCAGTTTACACATCAATGGAAATAAAACATATGGTTGGTTGGCGACCCCCCAAGCTAAAAGGACAAAAGAAGACGGTACGCCAAAATTATATACCAACGATTTCTCGTTTTTGAGTCATAGGTACGTTGTACTATTAACAGGGGATTCGCGATGAATCTTGTGTGGGAATCACTAAACAAATCAAAGCCAAATACACCCACATCCTATGAGAGAAAGAGCGCCTAATCATCCCCTGTTTTGTTGTTGTTTGTTCTGTCTGAACCAAATCGGAGTATCCGACCATTGTCGGACTATCTGACATGGGGTCCGACTTTGTCTAGGGCTCTGGATAAAGTCGAAGGCTGGGTCGGACATTGGGTCAAACATTTCGATAAGTTACTGTCCTACTTTGGTCGGACTGTCCGACTTTTCTGGACAGCAAGCATAACGAACTGATTTTTGGTGGACCTATATAAGGCACCCTTCTGCTCCAAAGGAGGGTGACAACTCCATTATTCTTTCCTCCAATGATCCAAAAGCTTAAACCTTCAATTCCTCTCTCTCTCTCTAGCCACTCAATCTACTCCATATTTTAGAGAGAGCAAGAGGATCACCCCTACAAATCCATCCAATCAAAACTCGAGCTTGTTGATTCCCCACATGATCCTAGCTAATCTTGTTACTCTTAGGTTTGTGGGGAACCCTAGACGGTTGGTATTTCCCGGGAGCTTTCGATTCGTTGTGCCTCGGACTCGTTTGTGAGGGTTTGGAGCTCGCCCCAAGAGCTACCCCTAGTGAGAGGGAACTTGGGCATTTGTTGACAAAGGTTCTTGGAGACATAAGGTGAGGCATTCGTTGTCGAGGGAGCATTCGTTGTTCCCCGCCTCTCCAGCGGAGATTAGCACACCCCCAAGTGTGTGAACTTTGGATTACTCATCGTCTCCATCACTTTCGGTTGTTTCTTAACCCTAGCTTTACTAGTTATTACTTGCTTGTTTGACTCCTTGTGTAGCTTCCTAGCTTGTTGTAATGCATCGTGTAGGGTGTAACACCTAGTTGCATGTCTAGAGAACTTACATTTCTGCATTAGGCTCTAAACGCAACTAAGAAATAACTCTAGATGTGTAGGGTGTAACAGCCAAGAACGCTTCTTGATTTTGGGGGAAGGTCGATTTTTGGACATGGCAGTCAGCGGACTTGCTCCGGTCTGCCTCATCTAGGCTGGATGCCGTGATTGGTGCAGGAGCTAGAGACGAATCCTTGTTTCAACTCCGGCTGGGGCTCTGCACTCATCCACACCAGCACCATTGAGATGCAGCGCAACACCATGGACAGTTGCCACGCCGTCTTGACGTGGACTTGCTCCAATCTGGCTCCATCACGTTAGACATCGTGGAGGCCGTGGTTAAGGAGTTGGAGACAGACCCTTGTTTCAAATCCTGCTCACCTGCAAAGGCACTATCGAGATGGAGGCCAGCATTATGGACAGTTGTGGCAGCCACCACAATGCTGTCTTCAGGTCTCCACCGTCAAGAACCGCGTCTTGCTCACTCTGTGTGCTATAGTTGTGCTTGCCACTTTCAAATGTTTAATTGACCTTATAGATATCACTTAATAATCTGTTTGATTCATTTAGTTGCATACTCACCTTGTTCATGTCAGCTGGTGTCTGCTCCATAGCAAAGCACGGGTGTTGTGCTAGTAAATCCTAAAACTAATAAGGAGCTGCCGTTTGTCCATCTATTCAATATATATACAACTCAAGGCAGAAGAAACCCACACCACATTTAGAATCGGAACACCCGGTTTATGAACAACTATTAAGACAACTGCTAAATAGCCCCTAAAAATAAATCATGTTCAGTTGGTTGGTGAATATAATGTAGACAGATTTTGAAACCAGTTTCGCCCGGCGTACCAAAGTTAATGTTTTGCTAAAGCACGTCTAAGTCATATATCCTTGATTTTACGCAGAGATTCGTGCGGGTATTTTATTTTTTTCTTTTCATTTCCTTTTTATGTTTGATTGAATCACTTAGATGTGCAATAACTCTAGATGTGCCCTACTAGTACTAGAATTAATGATAACATTCTCGTGCTAACGTGTAACGACTTGTAATGAACGCCGTGGATCTCAAACCGTACCATAAGGCCTCCTAGAGCGTCCGAACGTGTCCCATCCTAGGTAAGATACGAGTTCTTAAATCGGAAGACTGACCTGAATCGCCGACGACGAGGACGCGCACCTGGCCGTAGGGCATCCCGCCGTTGAGGTCCCGCCCGCTCCCGCTCGCGCCGCCGTCCCTCCAGAACCTCATCTCCCCCACCAATCAATCGAGCAGCGGCAGCTGCTGCTGCAGCAGAGAAGGCTAGATCCGCGGATCCGGAGGAGGCTGTAGCCGCATCGATCGGGAATGAAGGAAGGAATGATCCGAGTTCCGAAAGCAGGAGGAGGGGATTCAGATCTTCGATGGAGGCGAGTTCTCTAATCCGCTCGTGGGATCAGTGTCGGCGACGGCTGCCTCTCCTCCTCCCTTGCTGTCGTGGCTTCCTTTCGCTCGCTCTGCTGCCGGTGCTCTGTCGCGATGGCCGATGGGGCAACCGCACCGGCTATCTCCAGGGCCGTTGGATCAAACGAGGACGGTTTGGACAATGTTTGGCAAACTATGCATGTCAAACTTTCAAACCTTATAATCCCCGTTCGTATTTTGTATCAATTTTTTACCATTAATTTAACTAACAAAATATTAATACATATCACCAAAAATTATATCATTTGACTCGTATTTGAACTTAGCTTTTGGTAAATATTGTTTTTTGTGTATAGGTAATTTTTATTAGTTAAAATCATGACTAAAATATGACCCTAAATACAAAACTAATAAATCAGAACGAAGGTAGTACAGTCTATGACCAACGTTGCATTTTTTTCTTGAGAAAATTGCACGTGCAGACACTCACATACCTGCAGGCACACTCACCCATATATAACCCATCGATATAAGCATATTCAACAAACTGAACTTATAGATATTTTAAAGTTGATGAAATCATCATGCATCCACCATAGCACGAAAAAATATAATTGAAAAAACTAAAATAAATTCATGAAAATGCGAGCAGTGAGCAATGTCCACTCTGCACTAAACAGTGGGCAAAGCGTGATTGCTTGCCACATAATCTAGTACAAAGAAAAATTACGTGAACAACCAGCAAATCATTGCCCAACTTCAAAGTACTGTGAGTAGTCCATGATGGTTGGATCAAACAAGAATGGTTTCGCCTAAACATTTGGCAATTATAGCAGTCAATTTTCAAAAGGCTACCGATGAATACCAATGTTGTTGTTGTTGTTGTTGTTCAGGCAAATACAAACATATTATTCCTCCTTTGAGATATGTTGGGAGACCCGCCTCCTCAACGATCCTGAGTTGTTCTACTTGTGAGTCTCGGGTCTGTTAAATATACCAAGCAATGTGATCCTTAATTATTTTGATTCTTTCTTTCAAGCTCACAAAACTTTCCCCAAGCTTGAGGTAAAGCCTCATGTTTGGTTTTAGAAAAAAAAAATTCTATATGTACAACAATCGCATTTGTGTAATGGCATTTTTTCATTAAAACAAAAGGACAATCTTGATAACTTGTTATACTTCTGGGTGGCAATTTATTGAGCCATGTTCTAGCATATCCTCCAAGTGAGATAGGGAACAACTTAAGAATAAAGTGTGGAAGGCTAGTGCCATGAAAAAGATTAGCAAGATCTTCAACTTTATGGATATGATCGAAAACATTTCCATCCTACAATCTCTTTAAGTTGAGAGATCCATAATTATTAACAACGTCGTATTCCATGGGAAAATCGTAAGCATCACCTTTAACATAAAATGGGAGAAGCACAAAATTCATTATTGGGTAAAAAATGTCTCCTAAAGCTCTTTTTTCAAACAATCTTATCAAAGCATCTGGATCCTTATCGGAGGCACATTCTCTAATAGCTCGAGGAAAATTCACTTCAACCTGGGTATGTGTGATAGGAGTAGGTGGTGTACTTATTAGTGGAGTAGATGGTGCATCATCCATTATTTATTTATCTTTTAATA